CACGGCGACGGAATATTAATGGATCTTTTTGCTCGAGTCCCTTTTTTTGATCACGTGATTACATTTTTAATTCCTTTAATTTCGACTTTTTTCTATTTGCAAAGAATTTTTTTTCTTTTCTTTTCTCCACCCCCCCCCTCTCTCTCTCTCTCTCTTTCCTTCTTTTTTTTTCAATTAATCCACGATCCAAGAATAATACCTATCTACTTTTTAATTTTTTCTTTTTTAACTGATGAAACTTTTATAACAGCGATAGAATATTAATGGAATTCTTTTCCTCGAGTTTGCCTATGTGTTCATATGATTACATCTTTACATCTTTACATCCTTTCAATTTCGACCTTACTCAGTAGAATAAATTTTTCAATCAATTTACACGATGTTAACTCCTTTCTTCGCTAATTACAATAATATATTTGAATATTATCGTATCGAGAATATTTTACAAGATAATCGTTAAGATATAATATTAAATAATATAATACCGAATGATAGCGACGTAAAGACGTGAACGATTAAATTTTCATTGTGATTAATTATTTATGATAAATTATTTAAGACGATTTATATATTAAGTCTATTCGATAGTATAACACATATCTTTTATCTCTTTCTCTTCTTCTTTCTTTCATCGTGGAATCGAATAGAAGAAGAAAATGTTGATCATTTAGAAAAGATTTCTCTTTATCTCTCTCTCTCTCTCTCTCTCTCTCTCTCTCTCTCTCTCTCTCTCTCTCTCTCTTTCTCTCATTCTTTTTTTATCAATGATTCTCGCTATAATTTTTCCCTTTTTCCGAAGGAACGAAAGTCAAAATTTTACGACAATGATACATCCAAAAGAGAAATAAATAAAAAGAGGGAGTGAGAGAGAAAGAGAGAGAGAGAGAGAGAGAGAGAGAGTGGAGTACAATTTTCCCGTGAAATATCTACTTTTTTTTGTATTTTTTCTTTGCTTCGTTATTTAAGTTATTTAAATAGAGTTTCCTTTTTTTTTTTTTAATAGTCAATTATAATATATTTCTCTTTTTCTTTTTCTCTCTTTCTCTCTCTCTCTCTCTCTCTCTCTCTCTCTCTCAATACATTTATCTTTTCTATTTCTATTAAAGATTATCATCATCCCTTTAAACAGACTAGGCTGTAGTATATTTTTTCTTTCTCTTTCTCTCTCTCTCTCTCTCTCTCTCTCTCTCTCTCTCTCTCTCTTTCTCTTCCTTTCTTCTGCCATTTGCATTAGAGATTTCTATCGTTTTCCGTCTAGACGAGATAAACAGAAATAGAAAAAGATATGTGAATAAGGAACATGTAAAAGTAACACCGCAAATACCGATAAATTTTTATCGTATGAAAGAAAAAAGAAAGAAAATGAAGATTTAGGTATCGATCTTCTCCATTGGTGAATATTGTTCGTCGTCTAATATCATTGTCACATAAATTTTCTCGTAACACCCGTTATCCCAATGTTTGACAAGAATCGACCGTTCCGATCCCTTCTATCACATACTAACATCTTCCCTTCCGCTAACCCACCCATCACCAACCTCTCCTCATCATTTCTCTATTCGATCTAAGAAATTTTACGATCGGAATATTCCGTATTTCTCTTCAGTTGAAATTGAACTATTGATGATTATTAAAACGTTCGATCGATCCATCGTAAAATGATCGATCATTTTATATTTCATACAAGTGATAATTTCGCATTTTTCCAAATAGTACTAATATATTATCTTAAACGATAAGAATCGAAAGTAATCGTAAGATTATTATTATTATTATTATTTCGTTCTTATTGAATACACAAAATTATAACATAGAAATAATAATATAAAAAAATTAAGAATTGCGAATAATAATATGAATATTTTTACACTTTGTTTATATATATATATATAAATAAAAAAAAGGTATGAAAATATAGGAGAATGAAAATGTTAATTCGAATAGAATAATGAAGAAGAGTTGTCGGGAGGATAGACGAAAATAAGAGGAAAAAAAAAAGGAAAAAAACAAAACAAAAGAGATAAAATAAAATAAAATAAAATAAAATAAAATAAAATAAAATAAAATAAAATAAAATAAAATAAAATAAAATAAAATGAAATAAAATGAAATAAAATGAAATGATATAAAATAAAATAAAAAAAAAAAAGTCGAATCGATAGAGTACGATACTCGGACTAACGTGAGAAAATCGCCGGATATAAGCTCTCGTTCGAGATTTCAAGAGGACGCGAGTAGATTAGGATGAGGTTAACGTCACTCGAGGAGAGACCCGGCTCGGCTCGACGTGCGTGTCACGCACATGTATTGAATGCACGTGCATAGCGTGCATATACGCGAGGAAGAGAAAGAGATGGAAGCGAGAGATATGTTGGGAGAGTGGTTAAGAAGAGGATAGAGAGAGTGGAAGAGAGAGAGAATGAGAGAGAGAGAGAGAGAGAGGGAGAAACAGAAAGATACAGAGAGAGAGAGAGAGAGAGAGGGAGAGAGAGAGAGAGAG